TTTTGGACACAATGTTCATTTTTTTTGCTTGACGGTAATGAGTGTCAAAAAAGCAGTTGGTACACAAGAATTTCTCACAGCATGCTAGACAAGATGTTTTAACACGTTTTGTTTCTTTTATAGCAAATTTACGTCTATTTCTATCACTATTAATTTTATAAAATCTTGTACAACGACCTCTCTGTTCCACTTCGGAATGTTTGTGATTTCTTTCTTGGTTAACACGACGATCACTCATTAAGATTTTGACTACAAAAAATTTAGAGTGTCACTTATTTTTTTTTATAGTCTCGTATGCAGTATGGGCGTTTATAAAAGATGTATTAACCAAAAGTTCTATTGAGACTTTCCTATACCATTTAATACACCTATACGTACTGCTGATGGATATGTTGCTTTTTGATCAGATACGTCTATAAATGATTTCACATTATTATACCACACGATTGTAGAAGGCTTTCACACCACACCCCTTTTTGTTGGCACATCCACTATTTCAGGCACAGACTCCTTAGTGAGAAACATGACATCTCTTTTGTCTTTCCATTTTCCAAGTATGACTTTACTGTTGCTCTGTCTTATGACTAATTCACCTCTTTTTAATTTAGCCTCACTTACTACTTTCGGATTGTGCTTCCTGTTTTTTCTCAGTGTGTCTATTAAATGTGTATCTTTGTTCAGAAGTTCGTGTGCTAAATTCACGCTAGTTTAATAATTATCTATGCACATAATGCGACATGATTGTAAAAGTGGTTCCATAAGCTGTAGCACCACTTTTGTTCCAATTGGCTTTTCATTAGGTTTTTGCTCTTTTCCTGTATAAATTTTAAAATTTTAGTGTAACCTTTCACTCCACACAACGTAAATAATTTTAAACCGTATTTGTGACGCTTCACCGGTATATATTGACGAAAGTTTAGTCGTCCTCGAAAAGGGATCATCGTCGCATCTATACACACATTCTTTTTAGGAACATACGCTGACTGGAACTTCTTGATTAGCAAATTTTGCAAGGGAAAATTTTTTTAGCCATTATCTGAGACAATTACGTTGTTTGAAGAGTGCAAATTGGACAAAAGGAGCTCAAACCTTATCCTAGACATGTGAATAAATCTTCCAATTTCATTTTTGTGTAGCATATTGGTGCTAAAAATAATCTTCCAAAGTGGGTTTACGATTTAACCCCATCCAAATTTGAAGACCTAAGAAAACAAAAATTTCGGATTGATCTGTGTCTCTCCATTGTCCCAATAGTTTTTGTTAATGTTTCATTTGTAATTCCTAATAATATTTTTTGTTCAGCATATCTGTTGGTTTCCTCAGCAATAAGTGATAAGATTTCGTTGTCAATAAATAATTTATAAAAATGAATCGGATGATCTCCCCCCTCTGTGCAAAAAATCTTTGGGAGAATCCTGAATTTTCCGTGAAAGTAAATATCTTCAAATTACCTATAAAATTGTAAACAAAACTCAACTATAAAAGTGAATTTATATATTATCTGCACAATTATTCCAAATGGCATTAGGATTATGTATTATTTAAAAAAGTATCAGGTTCAGAATCGTTGTTGAGAGAATCTAGCTCAGATTCGAATTCGAACTCTTGCCCATCACTGTTAATTTCTATATTAGAGGGAAGAAGAGCACAAATCTTGGTCATTTGGATCATCTATCCATTAGTATTATGCAATATTACAATCAGTATTATGCAATCTGCTGAAGGAGTCTCAAACTGCTCCGCCAGAATTTTAAAATAGTACGGCCATCTGTTGAATAAGTCTCAAACTGCTTCGACAGAATTTAGCCGTTAGCTGTAGGAGATCAGGAGAGACCAATGGACAGATTCGAATGTAGTTATAAGGCTCGAATCGTTTTGTAATGCCCCTTTGTTCGCTTCTTCTCGATCTCCGATGGTAAATACAATAAAACGTTGAAGTTGTGGAGTAAAAATTATTTTTTATTGACAGCTACTCCTAATTACACTGTAGATGTTGGTTAGATAACCTTCTATAATAGACTGCACCCTCTTTTTCTTCTACTGAAAGAGTATTGCTTTGATCTACTTCTTCTAACTCCCAGTATTTTTTTATTTCTTCATCCATATGTCGTCTAGATATCATGCTGAGTACTTATATATTAGGGATATTCTCTTACTCTGCTATCCCTGACATTATCCAACCCAATTTTGTATTTTGGGCGAGCAAACCATCCTTTGTTCGATCTACTCCTTACCACCAGTAATATTAAACTATATTATTTGACTCCTAATAGAATCTCTATTGAACCTGTTTCATTAAAATTTATATCCGCCAGGACTAAGTTCTACGGTTCCTTTCTTTTATCTGTATCTCCTTCTCCGGTAGATTTTTTGATATTTTTCGTAGTACAATTGCTTCGGTCTTCATTTCAAATTCATTTTTGAAATGCGCCTCTAAGTTTAATGTTACGCTCCATTTCGACGCTCTTTGGTCTTCATTGCCAATTTCAGATATCTGAGCGTGGACAGCCTTTAATTTTATTGCGAGACTAATAGCGGTCTGCTTCGTAATAAATGATGACTGCGAGCCTTGGTCAAACAATGCTCTCATCAATTGTGAGCTTCCTTTTGAGTCTCTTACTCGTACTAATACCGTTGCAAAGAGCACTTCTTCATTCTGATGACTTAAACAGCTCACGGTATTCTCTTGTCTTCATAACGATCCGTCGTAACTGTTGTCACCTCTGGTACCACTAGTAGTGGATTTATTTTGTGGCCTTTTGTTTCCAGAATTCCTTCTGTTATGTTCTGTTCTGACCCACTAGAATTTGGTTTATTTTGTGCGCTTGAACACAGCTTGAAACATCACCACTTTATGTGACCAAATTTGGTACACGCAGTTTCTAGTAAATATCAACTGTGTACCAGAAATGATACACACAGTAGCCAAAGTGTTAAAAGATACTGAAATGTAAAATGAAAATGTATGAAGATGAAGAATTGGATGTAATTAAACAAAATTTAAAATGCAATAGCCAATAAAGAAATTAATATTAAAACCTATACTTTGAATAATAATCCCCCACTTGTATCATAGCCCGGTATCTATCTACCTACACCAAAATAACTAACATTCAACTTACTGTTGCTCATAGTCCGACTGATGATATTTGTAGGATCCCCTAAAATAATCAAACAACATTTAATCTACCCGTAAACAAAAAAATAATATCAGCCATTATTATACTGTATGATAGAACCAATCACCCCAAAAAAATAAAAACGAAAGAAACAACGAAATAAAGAAAAATCAAAGCGGTGTCCAAGCGTTAAAAAAAACTGTGCGGCAAACAAAAAAGTAACAAGCGATATGAGTGGTGTTATATGTAGCAGATGAAAAGTTGTGTACATTTACCTCATCATTAACTCTTCGTCAATGTACTGCAAGAGACTCCTAAATAACACATATAACAAATTAAAAAATACGTAAATTAGGGTCTAAAAGATCTCTCATCAGATAAAAAATTCATTCTGTTAAAGCATTAGTGGAAAACTGTTATATCACTACGTTAGATTCTAATACTTTATTAATAATTGTAATCAAGTGAAATGACTGTATATTGTGTGGTGGAGATTGAAGCAGATATTCCGTTTATTGGTAAATTGCAGAGTTTTGCACGGTCAGTAATTAGATCATTCATGTCAGTTTGTTAAAAGTCGAGTAAAAACAGAACTCTACTCTTAAATCGGTGGATTTTTTATTTATTCACAATATGCACTTAATAGAACATAGTATTATAGTGTTACGTAAGATCAAGTAATTCATTTGACATGCTGCATACAGCAGTAGAATTATAACATGTAGTGTTCCAGATATGACGTCACATCAGTGATACAGTATACTCCCTCTATAACGAACACGGTTATTATGAGGTTTCGTTTATAACGAGGTACATTGGATGTCCCTATTGAACTATAACCCTCTATAGCGAGGAAAATTTGGTTATAACGAGAGAAAATAAGATCGCAAAACGTGTTTTTTACGTTTTTGGTCTGGTCGTGGCTATAAATAAATACCCTTTTTAACTGCCGCCTGCAATAAACTTATGTTTAATCTACCGACCGATATTGTGTTGTCGGACATTTACAATTTATGATTCACAAGTGTCAGTGTAGGGGTTTGACCATTCGCACCTAATAAACTACGTAAAAAGGCTTAAAAACATGACAAATGAAACAAATTTCACCGGAATTTTATTTCATAGTTGTTTTTGTGGTAGATGTTTATCGATTGTTTCCTGATTGTGTGCTTTAGCATCTTGAAAGTTGTGTTGTAGATTACATAGTCGCATAGATTACACACTATGACTCCTAAAAGAAAAGCATTAACTTTAGAAGAAAAAATTAACATACTTAAAGATGTTTAGAACGGTAAGAACAAAGCAGAAGTTTGTCGTGAAAGACGAATTTCAATTTCCCCTCTATCTACCATGTTCAAAAATAAACACAAGATTTTCGAAGCAGGTTCGTCTTTTTCCAGTAAATCAAAAAAACTACGTGCCGCAACTAATAAAGAACTCGATACTGCAATGGTCAAACAGTTTACCGTAAACAGAGCTGCGAATGTTCTAATAAGTGGACCACTGCTTCAAGAAAAAGCAACACAGTTTTCGCAAGCGCTAGGTGGTAATGAGAATTTTAAAGCATCGAGTGTGTGGATGAGCCGTTTTAAGGCCAGGCACGAAATTACGTGTGGAAAAATTTGCGGTGAAGCGAAGAGTGTTTCCAAAGAAGTCACCGACAACTTGTTGAAGTCATGGCCTACAATAAGACAAAATTACAATACCGACAATGTTCTCAATGCCGACGAGCTGGGACTTTTTTTAACTTACTCCAGATAAGACCCTCACATTCAAAAATTACCGTTGTATAGATGTCAAGTTATCAAAAGAAAGGATAAATGTACTCGCGTGTGCCAACATGTCCGGTTCCGAAAAAAGGATGTTAGTCGTCATTGGGAAATGTCAAAAACCACGATGTTTCAGAGGTGTGAATCAGCTTCCTGTCACATATAAATTTAATAAAAAATCGTGGATGAGCAGAGATTTTTAATGAAGAACTTTTGAAGTGGAACAGAAAGTTGGGACATCGAAAGATTCTTTTAATTGTTGACAATTGTACAGCCCATCCGAAAGTTACCGGTTTAAAAATCATTCAACTTCTTTTTATACCCCCAAATTGCACATATGTTCTGCAACCGATGAATCAGGGCATTATAAGGTTAAAGTTCACTACAGAAAAATTTTAGTTAAGCACATGCTGCTTAATGTGGAAAATCGTGGTGAATCCTCTTTTACTTTATTAGATGCCATAAATTTCATCCACAAAGCATGGGCACTCGTAAATAAAAAAAAACATCAGAAATTTTTTCGGTTATGCGGGGTGGACAGAGACAGATAGAAAACGAAGAAGATAAATATCCTGTAGCAGAGTGGTTAAGGTTACAACAGCAAGGTCAAGAACTAACCCAACTGAACAATGATGACTAAGTTTGCTGAATTCATTGCCATTGATGATGACGTCATTTATTGTGATCTTCCGACGGCTTTAAGCGTGGTAAGAAACTTTATCCAAAGATAAAACGCAAATGAAGAAACCGAAGAAAAGACAGAATCTCAAAATTTTTAGTGGTTTACGGAGATCTTATCATCTTGGTGGTCGGAGAATTAACGAAAATCAAAAATTTTGAATGGTGGCGGGTGAAAAAGTAAACCAAAAATGGATGTTGATCGAAATAAAGAGTTTTTATTGCTAATGGACGAATGAGTAATTAATCAATCTATAGAGGCCTCTAAAAAGTCTGAGGGTAGCGTTAAGAGCGTAGGCGCAAAATTTCGGGCCAATGCTTTTTAAACGCATTCATTTTTTTTGAATCCTGAGCAAAATAATAAATATTTTTAAAAAATTTAAACGCAATATGAATGATTACATTATTGAGGACCGAAAGTCCCTTAGAATAAAGAAAAAGTTTTTTTAAATGAGATATTTAAAATTAAAAATCACACTAAATTTTCTCTTCTTTTTCACCCCTGTAACTTATTAAAATAAACATTATGGAAGTGTTCAGGGACTTTCGGCCCTCAGTATTAATGCTGTCTCTCATTCTGCGTTTAAATTTAAAAAAAAAAAACATTTATTAGTTTTCTAAGGATTCGAAAAAAATAAATGAATTTAAAAAGCATTGGCCCGAAATTTTGCGCCTACGCTCTTAAGAAGTAATTTTCCAACTGAAGATTGGACCGAAACTGACAAATTTTGGTGGTGGTGAGAAAGGAAATGAATAATCAATGTATATTGAACAAAATGAGTGAATAAGTAATTACTTAATACTTATAGACTTGTAGAAAATGGTGTTAAGATTGTATTTTGTCAACTGGATAAGTGTGGACTATACTACAGCTTGATGAATTCACATTTGGTGACCATGATCTAATCGAACGACTGCATTACATAGGCATGTTACATTTTTTCAGAATCTCGGCATTACCTGAGCTGGGAAGATGTAAATTTTTGTGTTGACACGGATCCGCCAAATTGAATCCAAACTACGACCCTTAAAACAACGTCACTGTAGTTACAGGTCTGTGTTGTTATATTTTTCTATGACACAATTGCAAAACTCTGAAATTAACTAAACAGAAAACATCCGATATGCTTTTTACGACCAAATGGCAAAAATAGTACCTGTTGTTATAACACATATATCATTTAAAAATAGATACGAAATATGATGATCAAAACGGACTAAGACATCCCTTTATTAAATTTTAGAGGGTTATTAATAAACAAACAATTAATATTTGCATTTATTTCTATAAATACTGCAAACCGTAAGTCATTTTAGAGCTAAGAGCTAAAAAACACTGCAAATAAAAATAAAACCCAAACAGTGAAATGCAAGAGAACGATTAAATACTAATTTTCTAAGTAGTTATCAACCACAGTGTAAATATTGCCTTAAATTGATTCTCAGTGAAGTAAAAACTATTTCTCTGTTTTTAGTAACACACTGAATGATATATGATAGATCAAAAGAAATTTATAATGATATATCACATGCCCATCGAGTTAGAATCTATGGAGAGGGCATCACGTGACTAAAAACGACCTCGTTTCAGCCATATTGGTATGATCTTTGTGTTAGATCATGTATGGTTGTTTACGTTTTTTGTTTTTCGAATATTTTTAGTTTTATAATACTTTTATAAAAACTGTACTAGTATATTGTGATAGTGCATAATAATGGTTTCTTGTTCTCAACATAGTTGCAGTAGCAAAAGCAATGTTAATAAAAAATCTTCAGTAATAACGTTCCACAGGTTAGTATACAAATATGTAAACAAACTAATGGCCTGTACTTCAGAAAATAAACTAATAGTATTCATAAAAAATCTTATAAGTAAGGTAGATCGTGCTATTCTTGAGAATACTCAAATATCTTCATACTAAATATCTTAAAATTTCTTATTAAATACTGCAACATAATTATTTTTATTTCTACACAGTATTTCCATTGTGATATTCGGCAGATACTCAATTTTGATTTTGTAATAATAACTTTTCTAACTTTGTTAATTGAACTAATTAAGTGTCAGTTAATTTGTAGTTATCAAATATATAAGTTGTAAAACGAACATATTTCTTTTATTTCATACCCTATATTCATTTTACCCTTTAAAATATTATTTATATTATTATCTCTTTCAGATACAACTTGTTATTTGACTGTATTAATTTATCTTTATGTATATGTTGTGTTTTTAGTGTTTATCGCGGGATAAATAAATAATAGTTTATTAAAAAGTTTAGATTATGATTAAATCTTCTGAATAACTAGTCATATTTGTATAGTAGTTTTAATAATATTGAGTCAGGCCCTGATCCCACCGCCATATTGGTATGATCGTTAGCCACACCTACTAACGCCGTTTTTAATACACACGTTAATATGCTCATAGCTTCTCCATAGATTCTAACTCGATGCACATGCCATATATTATGATTATAATTTAAGAAAACTGTACATAAGTCATACTTTTGACAATTTAAATAAAAAAACAACAAAAATTCTAGTAGATTATGCGAAACTATAAAAATAAAGTTGATCTATTTCGAGAGCTTTCGATAAAAGCCGAAGACTAACAAATTGTTGAGGGTAGTCCATATTTTTTACATTTTCATCATTAAATATCGAAAGTTCGCAATTTTGAACGGCCATGACGTCACACGTTTGGCTTGGCAGATTTGAATAAAAAGAAAATGAATTCTGGAAATTGGGTGAAATGGGAGAATAAGTTTACCTGTTCGACAGTTTTCTATAGCAAAAAGCTAAATACTAGCAAATTAATAGAGGTAGGCCACATTTTTTCCACATGTCGGTATTAAATTTTGAACGTCCGTCAATTGGAAACGGAGAGGACGTCATCCTTTTGACAGATGTCAATAAAAAAGCAAATAAATGCTAGTGGATTAAATATGATAAACCTACAAATTTTGCATTAAGAATACTGTAGACGCCAATGCTCAAACCAATATTTTCTTCTTCCTCAACTTTTCCATTTTCAGGGATCACTGTTCCTTAATCTTTAGAGCAACATTTGTTAACAATATTAGTGGTAATAGACAAGCTATTGTAAATAAAAATGGATCAAAAATTGAATGTGAAATGTTGAATAATTTATTTTGAAGTAGTAATAAATATAATTATTGTTACGAGGCGAATCATACAGTAAGCTATGAAAATAAGACTATATGATAATTGATGGTATAGTTTATAAAGTTTTATAACATATTAAGTTATATAACATTTTATAAATGTTATAAGTACACAACAACAATTGGTCAGTTGATACACTCAGCTATTTCAGGTGCTACACAAACATTTGAAGGATATAAATACTTTCAAGCATTAATACATGATTACTCGTATTTTTTAGTAGTACGATTATTAAAAAATAAACATGGAGCTGATCAAAATATTATTCAGTTTATTTTAGCATAATCTAAAAATGTAAAGAATTAGAGTTAATAATTGTGGATAATTTATATCTAATGCAGTTAGAGTAAAAATAAGGGTATTAAGGTAGAATTTACAATACCATATAATCCACAAAAAAATGGGATTTCGTACAGAATGAACACAAGCTTATCAGACAAAGTAAGTACTAAATTTTCTGAAACTAATATACCAAGAGAATTATGGGGGAAGCAATTAGGTGCTTAGCATATGAGTTAGATAGAACACCCATTAAAGCAAATAACGGAGAAACATCTGTCACGAGATGGTACAATAAAAATGATGAAAGCATTTGGAAGTAAAGCAAGGGTAGTAGTCTTACCAAAACAAAGCAAATTAGAGAGAAGAGCACAACCTTGCATAATGATAGGATATACAGTAGCTGGATATAGATTATGGAATTATGAAACTAATGAATTTTTTTGTTTTAGAGATGTGAGATTTGATGAAACGTTAACTAATTATAATGAAATCACTAAAACCAATATGGTCGATGATAAAAATAAGAAAACAATAGAAATACAATATGAAAATTAACTGCAAAAAGAAATAAATAACATAGAAATAGTAATTTAAGATGGTGATTTAAATGAAGTTAATAAAGATGAAACAGGGAATACAAGTTCAGAAAATGGAAAAGGAGGCATGCCAAAGATCGAAGCAACATAAACAGGAAGAAAAATAAAAGCAGCCAAATATTTAAGTGAATATGAGACTTATACAGCCTATTGTTTAATATCAACAAAAGAAAATGATCCTTTATGTTATGAAGATGCCGTAAAAGAGCCAGAATGGGTAGAATCTATAAAAAAGGAGCTACTCTTACATGAAAAACTAAATACATGGACAGAAGTAGAATTACCTAAACTTAAAAAACCTATTCAAACAAAATGAGTTTTTAGAACAAAGAAGATTGAACTAAGAAAAAGCCAGAATAGCAGCCAAAGGTTTTCAAATTAAGGAAGAGAATGAAATTGAACAAAATTACTCACCAGTACCAAGAACATAACAGTTAAGCTATTTTTATCAATAGCATTACAAAAAGCTTAGAAAATCAGACAAATGTATATCCCAACTTTAAGATTGATGCCTATATTTATGCTCCAAAAGAACTTACCATAGTATTAGAGCTTTATATGGCTTAAAAGAATAGTCAAAGGTATTGAATAATACATTCAACAATGTATTTATCAACAACAGATAGGACAGACATTAGTTATGCAGTATCATACAGCAGATTTTTAGATTATTCTACTACAGAGACATGGAATGATGGAAAAAGAATTTTAAGATATCTAAAAGGAAGTAAGAAACTGGGATTAACTTATAAAAATACAGATTACTAGACAACACTCAATGTATATTCAGAAACCGATTGGGCAACAGATAAGACAGATAGAAAAAAAGTGGATGTATATTTTTATATGATAATAACTCAATATCATGGTTTTCAAAGAAGCAGAACTGTGTGACATTATCAATAGCAAAAGCTAAGTACATTGAAGCAGCACAAACAGCTTAAGACTGAATCAATGTCAAGGGTATACTGGAGAATTTTCATGTAATTGTCAAAACAACTTTATACTGTGATAATAAAAGTACAACTTTAATGTCTAACAGTAATCAGAATTCTAAAAGAGCAAAACATCTAGATATAAGAGATCATTTTTTAAAGGACTTAATTTTTAAGAAAGAAGTTGCAATGGATTATACATCAACTCAGCAAAATTTAGCTGATATGACTAAATCTTTAGGTACTGAGACTTTCATAAATCTAAGAAATACCATTTATGTTGCAACATTTCAAATCGAGGAGGAATATTGGAATTCTTGTACTTGGCAACACTGGTTCACAATGTCAGTAGTGATTCAGGTTGTCAACTGTCAATTGTAATCTTCGATTGTAGCACATGTTTAGTTTTAG